TTTGCATTTCTTTCCAAACATTCCCTGATTGCATCCATGTGTACATGCTCCTGTTGTGCTGTTGCATGATGTATTAAGACAATTGTTATCACATTGATTGTCACATATTACTCCATAGAAGTGCTCCCTACATCCACAGATACAAGAACCATCTCCACGGGCACAGTTTGAGGCTCCGTCTCCACAGAGAACACAGTGCTCACAGTTGAGGTCACACAGTCTTCCATATCTACCCTCAGTGCAACCATGAACACACTCCCCTGACCACTGATAGCAACTCAGACTCTGGCATGAATCCCCACATTGTTTGTCACATGCTTCTCCCCATCTTCCAGTTACCGGACATGTTCTTGTACATTCATCATGGTCATCTTGACTTTGTCTCTGGCATGCTGTGCAAGAGTCGCCATTCCTGTACATACCTACTGCACAATCTGGAGAAAATAGAAACCATCTTTTTCTATAACAAACATAAGTTATAGATTTATATCTTCATTTCGTAACGCTGTTCATGCAACAGCAAAACAGTTTAAAGCTAAAGATAATATGCATTTTAAATATTTTAGATGTGACCCCGTCTCTTTGAACCGCATTTCAGTTATATCTGAATCGGTACTAGGGTGCTAATAAAGAAAGGATAATAATTGGACAGCATCTGGGATTCGAAACCACGAACAAATGGACTAAAGGACGGACTTCTGCATAGCGAATTGCAGCTTCAAAGACCATTGAGGCACCAGTGCCTCTGTACTTGCAGATAGGGGCAAAGTACGACATGGTAAATGCTACATGCGTGCAGATATAATACTGTGTGCAAACTGGTGTTGTTTAAACATAAAAATCATGTGGGATTTGTACGTTGATCCCAAAGAAATACTTGACTGATTGCCTACGCATGATATCTATCCAAAGGATAGGACATGTTGTGGTGAATACAACATACAATCTCTATATGATAGCGTGGTGTGTCTTGAATAGCATTATATCACAGGAACACAAATCTCACTGTAAATAGAATTGTATGACAATATATAATTGGTTATTGTTGGTGGGGCGATATATATCGTTTAATCAAATCGTACTAGTTTAAACACCTTTATACTGGCTATGTTGTCTTTCATATTTTAATACATTCTATTCAGAAGGATAGATATATAAAGAAAGTTACACAAACCCGTTAAGTTGCAGCGACCGCACGTCCTCCTGCAATTTTCATCGATACCTGGTTGACCACAATTCATCTTCCGACAGGACGCACTTGTATCCCGGCATGTTACGCTATCTGTAAGTCATAACATGGCTAAGACAATACACATCTACCTTAATTTATATATAATTCCTTGCTTTTAAGTAGTTATTCTATCATTGTTGGGGAGGATATCAATGGCCCCATCCTTCATATACTACACAAGGGATGATGCATTTCGATAATTTGTGCACAGTATCTCTCCATTATGTGAGGTCAGAATGTATCGATAGAAAGTGATTAGTTAACTCATTCTGATAAACATTCTAACAACAAGTAGCTGTTCAGTCATGTCAAACATCACTGTGCCCGGACTACCGCGGCGACCAACTATTCTGTTCAATATCGATACGCTGGGAATAATGTCCGCCATGGGAAGATTGACCTGTGACGTAAAACAAAACCACTGATCACTCAAAGGCATGGTATTTCTGCAGGCCAGTGCCATTCATTGCCGGCTATATGTGTTCATATACCGCAAAGGTTACAATCGCCCTTCAATTATCGGTTTCTGTCTATGATCAAGAAGCGTAACGCTTCTTTTTTGTTCGCACATTTCTAAAAGTAGCTTCATTTTTTGTGAAGACACTTTATCAATAACATTTAAAGTCTGATAAATTTGATTATCAATAAGGGGAATAATAACAGTAAACTGTCTTGGCATCATCTGATGTCCTTTGGGTGATGGTAAGTCCCAGAATATTATAACGTAACACAACAGATGATACCTTGAGTGTTTGCTATATACATATACTTCACCACGTACGTCTTTCATAAGTGTGGAAACCGATCTGTCCATCACTCCATTTACTGACTTACCTGTCTGATCTCCAGTTGTGGCTGCTACTAGTATGTACAAGCAGATGATACATCTCAAATCAGTCGTGCTGTCAATCAAACGTGGTGCCTGTAACAAAGACAACAATATGGTTTCGATTGCAAGGATACACATACGTAGTTATAACCATGCATGGGACGAACATGGAATTCTGTGAATCTTTATCAGATATGCATGGAAAAAAGAATAATAAAAAACAATAAACAAGTGAGATCTACACATCATTTACCTTCATGATTTGCGTGTGAGCGGTCGTTCCGATGTACATGAACTGACTTCGCTTTAGTGAGCCATACTTTCTATTTCCTAAATCCTATAACAATGGTGTCGGAGAATTTGCGTCACACTGCTCACCCACTTGGTTAACATTCGAAACACTGAGTGCATTTGAATGTACAAGGATTGATATTTCGTCGCGAAATATGTGTTGGGCAATGTAACTAACCATAGCTTCAATTATCGTTTAGGAAACGTATAGTAATCATTGTTTGATATTTTTGATATATGTGTTGTTCTTTTATGGCATGGACATGCATATGTATATCTTTAATTATCCTCATTTTTGATCTATTGTTAAAATATATATCAAACCAGAAATAAAACCATGCACAGCTTTAGGAAATAGATGGTGGACTTCGATTAAAGGATGTTATGTTTGGTGTTTCGTACTCGTACTACCTCGGCAGACTAAAGGTATATCTAGAAATATGTGATGATAGTATTACACGTGAGTGTGTGTGTCTTGTAATGAAGTTAATTTAAAAAGGTGTTTTGATGACACAAAACTGGCTTCGAAGGCTTCCCTTGGATGACTGGAATACATCTGATGATGGTATCACAAGTGTGTGTCTTGTAATGAAGTTAATTTAAAAAAAGTGTACTTATCACCCAAAACTGGCTTCCATACCTTGTGTGAGCTTTGCACATCATTATGACGTCATCGGTTATATTCATGTGACAAACAAATGACATCACTAATCTTTCTGCCACTGATCATAAAGCTGGTAAGCTGGTGTTCTCACTGCAATCTGTTCATATGATGACACATTATTATATATAACATTTGTGTACTTGCATTTTAGATTTTCTCTTACAGAAAAAGTCTTGTCAGGAAACTGCATAGAAGACCCTTCTTATATGTTTTTTTACAGGTATGACAACGTGAGTCGCCATATTTTGATACAAAGAGAAAATTGTGATAAGACGAAGGTTAATAGCGTTCTGAGATTGTTTGGGATATGATGACATGCATCAACCAAGTCAGCGAGCCTGACCACCCGATCCCGTTTGAAGCGTCTTACGACAAGCATAGTTGTCTCTTTCAGCAAACATGGTTTGCTGAAGACCTATTCTAACCAGGATATTCACGGGTGGGATTGATTTTGATGCAACACGGAAGCAGTTGTAAATGATGTCCAACATTAAACCGACATTTGAAATGACAAACCTTCACTGCCTCAGTTCATTTAAACGTTCTCTTCTCTCGATGTAATCAGATACAATGGTACAAACTCTTATGGCGAGACAATAAGGAATATTTGTTTTGTGTAATACCGTTGGCAAGATCGTAAGTTCAAATGATGATGTGTAAAAGTAAGTCGTTATACAGGTCAGTGTCCAATGCGGCCGTGTTATAGATATTGTTTTCGATTTCCTCATCTGTATTTATAAATCAATGGATATGTTGTATTACATTTGCTCTGGTTCAATAAAATAATGATATTTCTCGAAATATGTTGGTTTACACTGTTTTCAAACTGCCTTGTGTAAAGTAATGGAAAGCATGAATTTGAAATGTTAACACGCAGCATGTTACTGATACAGATAAAGGTCCATTGTACGTTTCCGACTATATCATTAGCATGCGTTTATAAATCAGTTAGTAATGACACCATGTGAAGCTCACGGAAGCCTTTTAGGGCCATTTGTTTTTCATATTTTTTTCTTGAAATTTCAAGATACTAATTTGAAATTTCAAGATACATTGGTTGAAATTTCAAGTTAATATCTTGAAATTTCAAGATACTAAGGTGAAATATTAACTTACTATCCTCAAATTTCAACATAGCATCTTGACATTTCAACTGAGTATCTTGAAATTTCAAGATACTTACTTGAAATTTCAATGTTATGTTTTCGCCGAGACATATGACAACTGCCGTCGTGTGGCAGGGGTACCACTGTGCAGTGTATGGCAACAAACACTTACTCTTTTCATGCAAGTTGTGTGAGTGGCGGTGGTACCGGTAGATCAGGTCATGCTAACCCTGGTGTTCCCACTGATTTTCAGTGATCCTTTCATAATTTTTGTTACGGCTTATTTTGCCTTTTACGCACAATGGAATTTGTTTCGATGGATAAACAGTTTATTCTCTGGCTTTGATGGTGTATATTGTGGCGGTTGTACATTTCCAACTTATTCTTTTACTTTCTCGTATGTGTCTGATGTTATCGTTGAGATGTAATGTGCATACCGTTGTGTTTAATTTCCGATGTGTGTGCATTAGTTGTATGTAAATTCCTGTTGGTTACATGAGCGGTATAACGTTTCACCGGTTAAAACAGATGAATAGTACAATCCCATTTCATGGATATTTTTACCGATTGAATCAATCAATCTATCAATTCACCATTTCTTTTGATGGTTGTTTAACTCCAACCATTGAATGAAAAAATCATACAAAGGTTAAAAATATAACTATAACTTTTTTCCTGATTTGTCTCTGAGTGACCAGGCCTTTTGGGATACGCCATGTACGTGGTGTTGAGTCAAGGTGAAAATTTCCTTTCATATATTTGTTTAGATACTGAATTAAGTTCCATGATATCCTTATAACATAACTATAAGCACATGTAATAAGACCGAAGGAAAAGGACGTTTTATAAAAAACGTTAATATGCTTTATTAACATAAATGAGTGTGCAACCGAATACAAAGAGAAAGTTGGAGTGCACATTGAATCAAATATGTATTTGTTGCTTTCATCAAAACAAAATCTTTAAATTTACATTCGAATTACACAAGCACGAGTCTGGGAAAATTTTACCTTATGAGATATCACACATAAATCCGAAAACAATAGGTTGGTTTAGGGAATAAAGGGGAGCAAACGAAGGCCACATACACCATATATATACACACAAGATTGACAATAAACATAATTATTGTTGAAGGTGACAACGACACAACATTTGTTGATGATATAGTAAAATTGCAGTTACACGGGTAAGGGGATTTTCATTGACAGACAAGTTCATCTCATTGACAAGTATGTGATAACGGCGTGTAGCCAGTGTCTGGTGGGGGTAGATTCAGTTGTTCGTAGCCTCTCTCTTCCACAGAGGAATCGTTATTCATATCCGGAATTACGGCATACCGAGACCCTTCACTGTCACGTGATCCATTGAACTCTTGCAGTGAGATTTCGCCTGGTCTGCTGTCAGGGCTGCTTGGTGATAGATATATACCTCTTTGGAAGACTTTGCACCATGCACACTCTCTCTTCCTGAAATACATTTATTCAAGATAAAAAGGTAAAAGTGTACAATAATACATGCGCAAGGCTTCAGATGTATAGAAATCAAGAAGAAGGGATTTCTGTAAATATTGTAGGGTTGGGAGATTTGATAATGCCAACTACTTTGGACACAAAAGTATACAACGGCTATATAATAGATTGTTCAGTTCAGTTTAATTGAATGTGTTATTGTATTGACGTGACTTGGCGTCTGTATGATAAAGCGTTTACAAAGGCCTCACCTCGCGATTATGACTGCAATGACAAGCAGGAGAACACCGAGACATGCTGACAAGACGACGATCACCCTGTGAAGGGACTGCACGTAGGAAACTGAAAGTATGATTAGATCAACAATAACATTCTAATATTAAATAAACCCACGTGGTCAAGATATCATGACTAAACTCATTTTTTCTTGAGATGAATTCAGAGCTCAATCTCTCACTCACTCAATATATGTCAATATAAAAAAGTAGCTTTTGCTGGCAGCTTTCGCTTGTCACGACGAAGACACGGGTTCGATTCCCGACATGGGTACTATGTTTGAAGCCCATTTCTGATGTCCCTCCCTGGAATACTGCTAAGAGCGGCGTAAAATCATACTCACTCACTCACTCAGTTTATTTCTTTGAAGTGATTTGCTTACTGATCTAATGAACGTTTGTTTCCATTTATATCATTTTGAAGCATGCAACGTCACAACTTCACAAGGAAGCATTAACAGGGAATATGAAAACAGTTTTTGTCGAATATCCTATTCTTGTCGGACGGGAAAACATCTAACAGCCAATAAACAAACCAACTCACTCACCCTCAGACTGTTTTGATATTTTGATTGAAATATCTTGACATGTTTATACAATGAAAATGGTCTAGCTTCTTATTGGATTCTTCAAATTTTCTGTTTGACAATAAATGTTCATGATTGCATTTCTTTACAACATTCTTTAGATTTCCTACACGTTTTATGTAATATGGACTTTACCCGAATTTAATAATCGAAAGTAACTATTTGGCCAACTGTACTATTTACTTTGTAATGTGTTACACAGTTCCGATAATAACTTAAATGAGCCTGAGAAAAATGATAGCAGTAAAATACTGTATCCTCTGCCTTTCCGATCTGTAATGTGTGTCGAGAAATAGTGAAAATAAACAAATACAATTAAATGGACAAGTAACAAATGTTTGACCAAAGTAGCCACCTTGACAACCAGGGGTACATAACCTCGCCATGTTACTACTGCAGGACTTGTTACAGGAGTATAAGTGATGCTCACATTTCAGACAGGTACCCGTTCTTCTGTTGCAGGTTGTACAGTGGTCAGGACACTCACTGTCACAGTAGTCTCCCCACACTCCATCTTTACACCCCAAAGTACAGGCAGGTTTACTTCCACCTGGGTAGGTAGTGGAACATTTCATGTCTGTGCAATTACTACTGCATGTGAGGTTACAGTGTTGACCATAGGAACCATCTATGCATCCATCCGCACACGAACCGTTGTCTCTGCTACATTTGTCAGTAGCGCAGTTCTCAGGACATTTAACAGCACATGTGTCTCCATGCCAGTCGGAAACACAACCATAATAACATGTCCCGTTGTTCTGACTGCATGTTCTATTCAGACAAGTGTCGCTGCATTTCTCCTGACACTGCGTTTTGAAGTACCCTGGGTTACAGGGACTGCAACTCCCATCTCTACTACATGTCTCACTACCACAGTTCCTGGAACACTTCTCCCGGCATTCTTTACCATAATGTCCCTTCACACACGCAATACATGATCCATTCTGGTAGCATGTACCATGTAGGCATTTGTCACTGCAGTATGTATTGCATTTCTTTCCAAACAGTCCCTGTTTGCATCCATGTGTACATGCTCCTGTTGTGCTATTGCATGATGTATTAAGACAATTGTTATCGCATTGTTTGTCACATTTCACTCCGAATACGTTCCCCCTACATCCACAGATACAAGAACCATCTCCACGGGCACAGTTTGAGACTCCGTCCCCACAGAGGCCACAGTGGTCACAGTTGAGGTCACACAGTCTTCCATATCTACCCTCAGTGCAACCATGAACACACTCCCCTGACCACTGATAGCAACTCAGACTCTGACATGAATCCCCACATTGTCTGTCACATGCTTCTCCCCATCTTCCAGTTACCAGACATGTTCTTGTACATTCATCATGGTCATCTTGACTTTGTCTCTGGCATGCTGTACAAGAGTCGCCATTTCTGTACATACCTACTGCACAATCTGGAGAAAAAACACACCATATTTTTGTATAACAAACATAAGTTATAGATTAATATCTTCATTTCGCAACGTTGTTCATGCAACAGCAAAACAGTACTTAAAGCTAAAGATAATATGCATTTTAAATATTTTAGATGTGACCCCGCCTCTTTGAAACGTATTTCAGTTATATCTGAATCGGTACTAGGGTGTTGATAAAGAAAGGATAATAATTGGACAGCATCTGGGATTCGAAACCACGAACAAATGGACTAAAGGACAGAATTCTGCATAGCGATATGCAGCTTCAAAGATCATTGAGGCACCCGTGCCTCCGTACTTGCAGATAGGGGCAAAGTACGATATGGTAAATGCTACATGCGTGCAGATATAATACTGTATGCAAACTGGTGTTGTTTACATATACATTGCATGTGGGATTTGTATGTTGATCCCAAAGAAAAACTTGACTGAATGCCTACGCATGATATCTATCCAAAGGATAGAACATGTTGTGGTGAATACAACATACAATCTCTATATGATAGCGTGGTGTGTCTGGAATAGCATTATATCACAGGAACACAAATCTCACTGTAAATAGAATTTTATGACAATATATAATTGGATATTGTTGGTAGAGCGATATATATCGTTTAATCAAATCGTACTACTTTAAACATCTTTATACTGGCTGTGTTGTCTTTCATATTTTAATACATTCTATTCAGAAGGATAGATATATAAAGAAAGTTACACAAACCCGTTAAGTTGCAGCGACCGCACGTCCTCCGGCAATTTTCATCGATACCTGGTTGTCCACAATTCATCTTCCGACAGGACGCACTTGTATCCCGGCATGTTACGCTATCTGTAAAGTCATAACATGGCTAAGACAATACACATCTACCTTAATATATTTATAATTCCTTGCTTTTAAGTAGTTATTCTATCACGGATGGGGAGGATATCAATGGCCCCACCCTTCATATACTACACAAGGGATGATGCCGGTTAGATCATTTGTGCACAGTATCTCTCCATTGAACGAGGTCAAAATGTATCGATAGAAAGTGATTAATTTACTCATTCTGATAAACATTCTAACAACAAGTAGCTGTTCAGTCATGTAAAACACAACGGTACACACATCACTGTGCCCGGACTACCGCGGCGACCAACTATTCTGTTCAATATCGATACACTGGGAATAATGTCCGCCATGGGAAGATTGACCTGTTACGTAAAACCACTGATCACTCAAAGGCATGGCATTTCTGCAGGCCAGTGCCATTCATTGCCGGCTATTTGTGTTCATATACCGCAAAGGTTACAATCGCCCTTCAATTATCGGTTTTCTGACTAATGTCATGTAATGTCTCTTGGGTGATGGTAAGTCAGGAATAGTATAACGTTAGACAAGTGATGGTATCTAGAGTGTGTGCTTTATACACGTACTTCACCACGTACGTCTTTCATAAGTGTGGAAACCGATCTGTCCATCACTCCATTTACTGACTTACCTGTCTGATCTCCAGTCGTGGCTGCTACTAGTATGTACAAGCAGATGATACATCTCAAATCAGTCGTGTTGTCAATCAAACGTGGTGCCTGAAAAAAATGATGTCGATTGCAAGGATACACATACGTAGCTGTGAGCATGCATGCAACAAACATACAAATCTATGAATCTTTATCAGATGTGAATGGGAAAAAGTACAATAATATAATATAAACTAGAAAGATAGTTTACACATCTTTACTTCATTTACCTTCATGGTTTGCGTGTGAGCGATCGTTCCGATGTACATATACTGACGTCGCTTTTGAAAACCATACTTTCTATTTCCTTAACACTAACCCTAATTAAAATTATTCAGAGAAAGTTTGTTTCGCACTGCTTCCTCAAATTATTTGAAATTGACATCAGAAACCCTGCATGACTTTGAATTTGCATGGTAGTATATTTCTTCCTGAAATATATGTTGGGCGGTATATCACGGCATAGCTTCAATTAGCGTTATTTATTTAAATAAAAATCATTGTTTCAAGTAGATCTTTTTATCAGGTCTATTGTTCTCTTAATGAGTGTACATGTACATATGAACTTTTTATTATCATCCATTTGTATTCATTGTATATCAATCCAGTAATCAAAACATGCACAGCATCGGGAAATAGAAGTTGTGTTGTGATCTTCGATTAAACGGACGTTTCCTACTGCCTCGCCTGGCTGAAGGTTTAGGTTGAATATAGGTGATGGTAGCCTCATACCTGTGTGTGTCTTGTACTGAAGTTAATTCAACAAAAGCGTTTTTTATCACCCCATACTGGCTTCAGCTGGAGCTGTCGAGATTTGCAGGCCAGTATTAGGTCATGGGGTACCATCACGTGACAATCAAATGACGTCTCTAATATTACCGCCGCTGATCAAGAAGCTGGTTAGATGGTTTTCCTTTGTTCTACTCACTACATATTATTTTATAGGATAACATATATGCTGTTCCAATTCAGATTTTCATACAGAGGGAACATTATCATTAGACTATCACGCAGGTTAATATAGTGTTCGGAGATTGTTTGGTTGCTTAAGGATTTTAATTATCTGATATATAGATGTCACTCCTTCATCTTTTAGCTCTGATGTAGGTAAACACTGATGTACAATAGACATTAACTCTACATTCTACATTCAATCCCATTCATGAAAGTGTTATAACTTTGTACATTTGCTCTGTGTGCATAAAATAATGACATTGGTTTACACTATTTTCAGACTACATTTATTATAGTAATGGAAGCCACTGACTTTGAAGACCGCCTCCGTGGTCTAGTGGTAGAGGTAGCACCGGGGTTCTCTCCCCGGCCGCGTCATACCAGGTGTTCGCACACATTGTATTGTCTCAAAAGTACATGATTAAGATTTTTCCGTACTAGCATACCCTGTAACCTGTGATTTAACGAGTTTTCATTAAAGTCAAAGGTACCGTCTTTGCAATTTCAACAAGTTCCACGCCGGTCAAATGTCTGGTTACTACAGCGAGTGCTGCATGTGATCCATAGAATCCTAAGTTTCATCTTTCACAGGTTTCGTTACTCTAACACAGTTTGTTCTCGCAGTTGACACAGCAGACTCAATCACACTAATCACTAGACAATCTGCTATTGCATCCGGATGTACCTGTCCCGTGTAATAAGCATTCGTCTCTGACACAGTTTTTACACTTAATGTACACGGGTAGAATTGTGTGGACGTTCGTGTGACATTCTCCTTCCGAGGTGGATTTCAAACAGTTCTATTTTGAAAAATATGTCGAATACGTATACCTAATTATGATGACATTAACATGTTTGAAGGACGTCTGTCCACCCAATTTGTTTTGTTACATTCTGCCAATGTTTAGACTAGCATACATATTACTTAAAATCCATTCCAAAGTATTGTCAATGATTCTCATTTGATCATGTTCATGTATAAACCTGTGTACTTGTAGTTCACCATGCTTAATATTTCCAGATTTTAAACTATCGCCATAGCTAATGTAATATGTTAAAAAAAAAAATGTTACATGGACAACAAAATATGTAACATATTATCAATGTGATTCTTTGGATATGCCGAAAGCATGTGTGAAGGTCATTGTCAGAGGATGATTACATTCTTTTTTTCCATGGGACTATCAACTGAGTCCAGTATTATATAATGTAACCCCCTGAAGTCTCTAGATGAAAAGTCCTCACTATCATGCATGTCGTAAGAGCAGACTGAAGTGGGGATAGTCGTGCTTAAACCGTGTCCTTTGGGGAGCGACGAGGATCGATCATCACACTATTGACCACTGATTCGTCTGGTCGACTTTCGATATTATATAAGCCATCGTGATACAGGTGTCGTCGTAACACAACAATCCCGAACATGTATTCTCTCATAACAATGTTAACCTAATTGCTGGTACATAAAATAACAGAGACATGGAAACCAGCGATTGATAATAAATTGATGCCTTTGAAACGGAATTTGTATATGATTAAACTCCGTCTCCATGACCACGCTTGCCTACAAAACTAGAAGCGTTGATAGACATGGTAGTCAAGCGTGAGACATGTGGAAGACGCAGCAGTGACCAAAATCATGTCTGATTCTATTCCCTACTTTTACTTGAACCGTATGTTTCCGGGTTTCGTGGGAACAATTGTTTTGCAGTAAGTACGTATTAAGTAATTTCGATTAGAACCCAAATGCAAAATAAATTTGTTACTTTCATTTATTCCAACGTCTCAACAGTAACAAGGCACCAGGAACTCCGTCGTTTATCCTGAATATGTCTTTAGCAGGTGTATATGTGTCCTGTGCTTGTTAGTCATAAAGTCTCTAGGGGCGGTGGGGTCGCCTAGTGGTTAAAGCGTTTGCTCGTCACGCCGAAGACTCGTGTTCGAATCCCCACATGCGTACAATGTGTGAAGCCCATTTCTGGTGTCCCTCGCCTTGATATTGCTTGAATATTGGTAAAAGCGGCGTAAAACCCAGCTCACTCATCTCACCCATAAAGTCTCTGTCAATGAAGTAAAGCGCTCACCTGTTTCTTAGTGAATACCGGAAACGTTTGATACACATGACGTCCATAACATCTGTCAAGATTCAAGGGGTTATTAAATACCTTGGTACCGAGCATACCACGTCCTTTGAGATGAGTGAGTTCCTACCAGAGCCTTATCTATATCTCATCGTCCAAAAAGAGACAGGATCCAGGACACTAGGTTTACTTTGACAAAACAGTATTTCCTGGTAAAAGGTTTCGATATTTAGTGTGGTAATTGAATGAAGATGCAGAAAAATGTATCAAGTAGCTCAAACTGCAAAAAGGGTATTCCAAAAACTGATTGAAATAAATCAGATTAATGTAGTGAATGTGTATAAAATCAAATGTTTATAAGCAACTTGATATCTTGATAACTCAAATACAATATTTTCATAATTTCATAAATGAAGGTACAATTTGAAATGATTGTTTTAACACTGTTTGTTTACCGGTGTTTATGTAGATACACTTTTGACGTCATTTCAAGCAATTAAGCTTGTTTTCAATCCGCAGTTTTTCAACAATAAATTCGCTAAATTGAATTCGAAACCGAAAGCGGGTCTTTGCGTTCAAAGTTTCGATATATTTATAGCACACGTCCTTCATGTAGGCCGTTGTCGCTATAACATTGTTATCATTGTAAATTTGTATTTTTAACATTTGTTTTCGTTGCTTATTTAGCTTTACAAACTAAATGTTATATTTCAATGGGTTTGTCTTTCATTTCGATGATCCGGGTTACACTATGCCCCACTACACTATACCTTGTCATGAGTGGCGACATCATTGGATGGTCGAGCCCGGTGACTTGGTAAGTTGCATGTGACTTTGCTCAATATACCAACCACTGGTTTGTCTGGCCTACACAAGGACATTTACAGGCCGCCGTCATAGAGCTGGATTATTACTGACTTGGGGGAGGAATTAGATTATATTCACGCGAAACCGACCCATATCAACGATGGTTTATCGTAACATATACTCAACAACAAAAGTTCCTGTGACACCAATATTTTAGTGTATTTTTCAAATAAGTAAAGTTTGGTTTTCAATTTTGTAGTACATGTATGGAATCAAGTCACAAAACGCAACTGCTACAGAAAAGCATGCATTCCATGCAAAAGTTGCATTTCACTACCCAAGAATGGGTATAAAAACATGTGCGTTAACGGGATTCCATATGCATTGTTTAGCATCGTGCTGATAACAACCACTCAGAAAAACAACAAAATTACGCAATTATTCAACATTACGAGATGCCACGCCTGTCCGAAAATGAGCGTCTGCGAGCCATTGGTATGCTTGAAGCAGGATCGAGTCAACGTGATGTTGCAAGACAATTTAACGTCCACAGAAAACACCATTTGGTGTTTATGGCAACGTTGGCAACAGACGAATGCAGTCGAGACCATCCTCGGAGTGGCAGGCCACGCGTAACCAATAATCGACAAGACATCAGGATTTGAACAACACACCTACGAAATCGATTCCAGCCAGCAACAGTGACTGCAAGAAGCATCCCTGGCCTACGACGAATATCTTCACAAACCGTACGTCGCCGCCTCAGATGTGCAGGGATTGTCGCCAGAAGACCCGCCAGACATCCCATTTTGACAGGAAACCACCGTCAAGCACGTCTACAGTGGTGCAGACAGCGTCTACGCTGGACGGCCATGCAGTGGGGACAAGTTCTATTCAATGACGAGTCTCGTTTTCACCTCAGCCACAGCGATGGACGGATTCGAGTGTACCGACGTCGAGGTGAACGTTACGTCAATCATTGTGTCATGGAAGAAGATCGGTTCGGGGCGGCAGCGTTATGGTATGGGGTGGGGTTACAGAGGACCCGTTTGATAGTGGTAGAGGGAAATCTCAATGGACAGCGCTACCGCGACGAGATCATCCGCCCTCTTGTTCTACCGTTTTTGCGTCGTCATGGCCCAGGCATTACCTTTCAACATGACAACGCCCGGCCTCATACTGCTCGACTTGTTATGTTGAAAAAGAGAATCCTGAACAACGTGAATGTCATCCCCTGGCCGGCTCGCTCCCTTGATCTCTTACCAATCGAGC